GCTAAGTCCAACCACGTTCAATAGACTTCTGTGAACCTGGGTGGAGACCTGGTTGGCCAGCGGTTTGGCAAGACCTGGGGACTCCTGGGCCCAGAGTCAGTGATAAAGCCACAGAGGACTAGAGTGGAGAATGAAGCATCCAGCTGATAAGAAGAGAGGGCATATGCACAAGAACACCCACACCTGCAGATAATACCCACTTGACCTGGCTTCAAAGACTGGATGATCAGAGCTCAACTAGAAGAAGAAAGAAGATGAATAAAAGGTATTCTGATACAATTTGATGAACTTGACCTACACCTATGGATGCAGTAGCTCAAAAGAGGGAACAAATCTTTACGCGAGAATCATTCCCACCCCTCAATACACAGGATAGACAGGGATGGGCAACTTGGACATTGGCTACCCAAAATGGGGGGGTGGTGGTGGCTATAAAGGCAATAAGTGACTGGCTTACAAGCTTTCAAGAGGGGGCCTAGATCTAGAGGGCGCAGAGGATGGTAGAATCTCCACTGAGTAGTATCCAATCTATCTGGGAGATGTGGATAGGACTCATGTGGTACAATAGTGAATAATTGCTATCAGGACTGACTGTGAGGGTTGGAAATGTAAAGGTAGACGTTTTGTAGCAAAAGGAGAGGAGTGGTTGACTTTGCAGTCCAGGAGCGGAGGTCCCTGGAACCATCAAGGGAGAAGAGCGGAATGCAGGACCCTATGTAGAGAAACAGTGACACCAGAGATGGAGGCAGAGACGATGACATGGAGAGATGGAGCGGCTGGGAACTCTAGACCCAGAGAAGGAGAGGAGTTGTGTGCTGACGACTGGGGGGCAGGCTTGTGGGGTGTACCCTTTGCTTGGTTGATGATACATGCAGGGGATTGTAACTATGGCAATGTAACGATATGCGATAGGATGAATGTAAAGCTAATGTTCTCCCATGTAAACTGTCACATAATTCACAATAAAACATAAAAAAAAAGGGGGGGGGATATTGAATGGTTTAAAATCAGAAAAGGTGTGTATCAGGTTGTATTCTTTCACTATGCATTTTTTTTTTCATAGTTTTTTATTTGAAAATTTTAGGTAAAACTTTTCAAAGTCTAAGTAATAAGACCCTAAGTTGTAGAGTTTTGCATTGGCTAGGACCCTCTAATGTCTTTTCAAATTCTGAGATATTAAGACTTTACTTAAAAGAAGAGGCAGATCATTTTCCCACAAGCTCATCCTGAATCTCAACTGCTTTCTCCCATGGAGCCAGCCCACCAAATTCTACACTTTGTTGTCTCTGCTTCATCTCTCCTTCCTTGTTTTGGGGGACAGTAGTTCTTTTTTTATTATTATTAAATGTTTTTATTTTGGATTGAGTGAAAGTTTACAGGGCACATCATCAACTTCACATTCAACCATTCATATAGCTTGTTTCATTACATTGATTATTATCTCCTTCATATATCATCAGTTAACAGTGTTTCTCTCTATCCTCTTTAGCTTTTTTT